TGACAGAGGCTCTAACCAGTTACTTAAGTGGTACATTCAAAACACCTCATGTCCTATTTTAAAAACGTAATGTATTTTTTTTTAATTTTACCATATTTTAAGCATTAAAACTTAAAATTATAAAAAAAATATAATAAACAACTTTTATCAATTTGTTGTTAAGTTTTGCGTAACAAGCTGAAGTCCATATAAATATTATATAAATATAAAGATTAATGCATTATCTAGTATGTTAAATTAAATGAAAAAAAAACTGATGTCAAAATTTTCATTGAATTCCTATCACAAAAAAATTTCACGTTGCAGGGTATAACTAAAAGTTTCAATTAAATTGATATACACTGATAGTCCCAGAGCAGTAACTTCAACCATTGGTAGGAAGTTGACGAACTGAGTGCCCGAGATGTTTACACAGTCAGGTCATAAGTATTGTCACACAGTAAAAACTTTTATAGCACAGTGTGACCTAAACCCGCACTTTACGCACGCTTTTCCGTGACCTAAGTTGCCTATTTCTGCACGGTGTGTAAATGAATTGACCAACTTCACTTATGTAGAATTAGTACATTACGATACGCGTAACTTAACTTTACTATGCCAATCAAGGAATAAACGTTCATGGATACATTGAAATTCTATTTTGTTGTAATGATATTTGATTTTTTCCTTTTGAAATATACTTTCAAAATGGTAATCTGAACCGGAATTCTTTCTTTTCAGAGTTTGACTTGCACTCTGTATTGCAATTCTTTGTGATTGCAATACATGAATTTTACTTTCAAAACACTAATCGCATCCCTCCGTGCAGTAATAGGCAACTTAGGTCACGCGTATCGTAATGTACTATTCTTTTAGAATGCTGGCCACAAAAAAGTTTATTGAATTCGAATTTCCAATTGTTCATGACAATAAAAATGTATACTTTTTAGAATTTTACTCATTTTTAAATATGGAGTGGACGCTTAAAGAAGACCGGGTTCCAGTTATTGTTACGCGCCAATTAAATTATTGACATACTGAAAATTTTGAATATAACCAAAAGATTTGTTTATCGTACCATCAAACGATACAATGAAGACTCTAGTGTAGATGACAGACCAAGAAGTGGTCGCCCTCGGTCTGTTAGGACTCCAGCAGTGATAAAAGCTGTGAAGGCGCGAATTCAAAGAAATCCCAAACGTAAGCAGAAACTGTTGGCCCTTCAGATGGGGTTTAGCAAAACCACGGTGAAAAGGGTGTTAAATGAAGACTTAGGGCTTCGGGCATATCGAAGAAAAACAGGACATCGTTTGAATGCTCGTCTAATGGACCTGAGACTGAAGAGATGCCGCGTTTTGTTGAAGCGGTACGCGGGAAAAAAAATCGAGAAATTATTTTTTCGGATGTAAAAATTTTTACCATAGAAGAGAGCTACAACAAACAAAATGATAAGGTGTACGCACACAGTAGTGAAGAAGCGAGCAACCGTATTCCGCGTGTCCAACGAGGTCATTTTCCATCCTCACTCATGGTATGGTTGAGTTTCTTATTGGGGCTTAACAGAGGTACATTTTTGTGAGGAAGGTGTAAAAACGAATGCAGTTGTGTATCAAAATACAGTCCTGATATTCCAACAAGATTCGGCGCCAGCTCATAGAACGAAGAGCACACAAGACTGGCTGGCGGCGCGTGAAATCGACTACATGCGGCACGAAGACTGGCCCTCCTCCAGTCCAGATTTGAGTCCGTTAGATTACAAAATATGGCAACACTTGGAGGAAAAGGCGTGCTCAAAGCCTCATCCTAATTTGGAGTCACATCCTTAATTAAGGCAGCCGCCAATATTGACATGGACCTCGTCCGTGCTGCGATAGACGACTGGCCGCGCAGATTGAAGGCCTATATTCAAAATCACGGAGGGCATTTTGAATAAACTTTATTGTCATAAGAATCCATGTTTTGTTAAGTTCATTTTGGTATATAAATGGTTACATAATGAATAAACTTGTTTCAATTATTTTATATTAAACATGTGACAGAATTTATGACCTGACTAGGTATATTTAATTTTAGATCCTTTATTTTTGTAATAACCGTCTTTTTAGACAAAAGAAATAATGTCAAATAAATATATATCTAATATATATGTCGGAAGGGGCGAGGGGGATAGGCGGTTGGCCACGTGGATTCGTCTTGATCCGCCATCCCATCCCATATTGAATACCCAATATTCAATGTTATTTCCCGAAAATAAAACTGTAGTCTACTGACCAAGCTTACGTTTAATTTGAAGCTTCTTATTACTTTACAAAATCAGTTATGATTGCCAAGGGACAAACGGATTGTTTTGTGAAGCGTGGAGAGTTCTGTGCTAACGTCCGTTCACTATCGCCGCTCACGTCTGAATGCTCCAAGAATGTCCCTTCCAATGAAGCATAGCCCCTTAAATACTACCCTTAGCATAGACCACTCCCAAGTGATGACAGCTGTCACTGTCATTACTTGACGTTTCACAAAGCAATGGTACACTGACTGATGACATTTGTTGTCGGTTTAACGTTTCGAAGGAGCGAGTGAGACGCCATCCGCCGACATATAAAATTCTCGAGTCACGGTGTGCGTAATTGAACTACTCCGAAAAGGCTCGAGCAATTTTCGTGAAATTTTATATGCATATGCAGGTCTGAGAATCGAACATCTATTTTTCAGCCCTCTAAATGTTAAGGGTGGTCCCTTAAATTTTTTTGGACATTTTTTTTGTTTTTATATTTTTATGATCATCATCATAAGCCTATTAATGTCCCCACTGTTGGGGCACAAGCCTTCCCTATGGATGGAATAGGGAGATTGGGCCATGACCCACCACGCGGGCCCAGTGCGGATTGGTGGGTGCTAACGACTGCAGTTGCAGCCGGGACCAACGGCTTAACGTGCCTTCCGAAGCACGGAGGAGCTCGAGATAGTAAATTTTTGGTCACCCATCCAATGACCGACCACTGCGAAAGTTGCTTAACTTCAACGATCGCAGCCGAACGCGCTAACCACCTGCGCCATCGAGCTCCTCATTTTTATGATACATCATACAAATATACATACAACCTTAAATTTTAACCCTTCTACCACCAACCCCAATTTTTTATGGCGGTAGTCCTTGTATTTTTTTATAGCCTTCAACATCTTTTTTACGACATCCTTTGACCTGCCTTTGAGCTGTTAGACCAGGGTCGATAATTTTCGAGACCAAAAAAAATTATAGTAGGATGAAACCCATTAGAAAAGGTAGAGAATATAACAAAAATGAAAGGAAAAACAAATTACGGGCGATCTGAGGTCGGGAAGGGGGAGGGGGTGAGTTTTTAAGGGTAAAAAATGGTTAATCTCGATTTCCGGTAAAACTGCAAGTCCTATGAAAAAAAGTCAAATGGCAAAGTTGTAGGTAATAAAAAGATCTACAACTTTTGTATCGACACTTTTTTCACATAACCTCAAAATTTATGTGAAAAATGCGAATAACCGAGTTTTTTGTTTTTGATTTTTTGCATAAAAAAAATATTTTTTCACGAAATTTGGTGAAAACTTACCTTTGTATGTCCCAAACATACAGTATTTTTTTTGATTTAAAATATTCATTTTTTCACCTTATTTTGACTTAATATCAAAAAAGCACCCTTATTTTCAATCGAAAATTCTCACGTCAAAATAACTTCTTTTTTAAAAAAGTTGGGGTGTTTTTTGTTTGTTGAAATCTCTACTTTCTGATGGTATAAAAAAAATATACACTACTATGGTAAATGTTCTCAGAAACTGCAAATTAATAATGAAAAAAACTCCAATCCGAAAAATTGATTAGAATCATTATGTATAATTTTGAAATATTTATTAAAATTTACACTTTAATTACTCGAAAAACGTTAGATTTCATGTTATATTGATAAACAGAAAAATTACAAATCCATAAAACATGCAAAAATAGTTGTTGTAAGTAGGTATTAAAAATAGGATTTTCGGGTTCGAGTTTTTTTCATAGGACTTGCAGTTTTATCGGAAATCGAGATTAACCATTTTTTACCCTTAAAAACTCACCCCCTCCCCCTTCCCGACCTCAGATCGCCCGTAATTTATTTTTCCTTTCATTTTTGTTATATTCTCTACCTTTTCTAATGGGTTTCATCCTACTATAATTTTTTTTCACTTTTCACCATTTTTAAAATTATCGACCCTGGTCTATGTCAATCACAGAAATCTATCTATATATATAAAACTCAAAGGTAAATATATATAAGACTGACTGACATAGTGATATATCAATGCACAGCCCAAACCACTGGACGGATTGGGCTGAAATTTGGCATGCAGGTAGATGTTATGACGTAGGCATCCGCTAAGAAAGGATTTTGATCAATTCTACCCCCAAGGGGACAAAATAGGGAATGAAAGTTTGTATGAAACTTTGTCAATTTTAAACCGATCGGACTGAGACTTTGCATGCAAGTATAAGAAGAATCATAGATGAATGTCATTGTGTATAATACAAGCCTGAGAACAAAAACTGTAGTCTACACTTCAGTTCTAAACTGAAGCGAAGCGAGGGCGGGGCCACTAGTGATTCATAAGATAGAAATTATATATATTTTGTAAACGATAACGATGACAACAAAGAACATAAAAGTAGATGAATATTTAATGATCGCTTCCTAAGAGAAGAAATACCAATATAAGTTACCTATTTTTAATTTGGATAAAGAAAACCTATCTCCTGTAAAATATCGGAAAACGGTTTTCTAAGAAACAAAAATGAATGAAGTGATTAACCGAGATAAATACAATTACACTATTTATATATAATATTTGACTAGAGCTGCTGTATTATGTGATCCAACTCCTTTTTAAGTAATTATTATTATCTTATTTTAAATCCTCAATTATATGATCATACGTAAAGTATAAAAATAAAAGAGATAATGTAGGTTAGAAATGAAACGAGCAAATCTCATAATATAAAAAAAATATTATTTAATAACCTTATCATAAATTCAGCAGATTTGTGAGTAAGCAAGATGCACAAGAGATTATTTCCCCATACGTTGTATGGACCACTCCTGTTGGCAGAGCGGACAACGGTTGTTCTGTTTCACCCAAAGTGACATGCAGCAGAAGTGGAAGCTGTGGTTGCATTCACCCCATACCACTACGCAGTCCTGTTTGCCGTAAGAATCCTTCTTGCTCTCCCCTTGGCACCTCAAGCAGGCATCTGTAAAGAAACGACAGCATGTTTATTATAACTTCTACACAATTCTCATAATTATCATCGTTACTGATGTAGGCAACGGAGATGTTCCAATAATCGTTTTGTATTGTAATTGACTGGGTAATCAGTATTTTTTGTAGTAGAGTTTAATACGATTTTAAAACTAATATTACATGTTTATGAAAGACGGCTTCCCAAAGAATTCTTTGGGCAAATAACTTTCATGGTACATAACAATAAGGTAACATATTGTATAAGTAAATATTGTAGGAAACAAAAGATGACGACACCTTGACTTTGGTGTAGTTTTCCGCTTAAAAAGTCTCACGGTCGCACGACGACCTAAAATATTTATTTACAGGAGACTTACGGTGGGCCGTAAATAAAAAGTGCTGTCAATGTCGTAAAAACACTTTATAACGGGTATAAAGCAAAATTTATTACATTTTATTTATTTTTATCTCATCTGAAATCCGTTAAGCTGCCAGCCAATACATGTTGGCCGAGCCAACGCGAGCATAGGCAAACAAGTGATACAAGGCAAGTGCTACCCTCTAGACGTTAGGCAAGTTTGACAAGACCAATGCAAGTGACCAATATCGACGAGCTCTGTGGAGCTGCCCATACGTTGGTGCGCTATTTGTTATTATGGACGATGTGAGACAAATGTTGGCGAGCGACAGCGAGTGCTGACAACTACTGATAAACGACGCAAATTATGTCTATACACGTTGGGCCTTCCCTTTACTCGGCAAGCGACACCGAGCGATGACAAGGCAAGAAAAAAATGATATCTATAAGATATATTGGCCTCCGCTTGGCCAATAGTCCAGTCAATGAAGGCTTAACTTTGCCATTTTGAGTTGATCACCTGCAACCAACGCGAAAACTTCCGCAAGGGTTCGTAGATTAATATACTAAAATTGCAGGGTGCTGCATTAACGGCAAAGTGTGAAAAAAAAATGCGAAATGGTGCAAAAACGAGTTTTTCGTCAATATCTCGCGACTGGCTGGAAAAATAGAAAAAGTTTGTAGCACAAAGTTGTAGAAAATTTAATTTCCTACAAAAAAGGTATCAACTTATTTTCGCGTATCTCCCACAGTTTTTACACAAAATGCAATTAAAGGTGCAAAATAAAAAAAGAAAAAATATTGTTTATGGTTTTTTTTCCATTTTTAAACGATCCTACGGGGCAAATTCAACAATCACCAATTACTGAAATATTTAAGGATGAGTTTTCGGCAGTCCACTGAAATGAAAATTGTCTACCGAAATGGTAAAAAATTACCACCGAAATGATACAGCCAAGAACATCGCCTTTGTAGTAGAAGGGTTCCCTATTTTGAATTTAAATAAATGTCTTTATTCATTGTAAATATTTTTATTCATTATTTTTTAATAAGAATTATTAATGAAGAATTAATTAATTGTTACTCCTATTAAATATTATTACTAATTATAATTATTAATATGTACATTTTCAAAATAACAAAAAAAGCGCGTTTAGAAAGGGAGAAGTTTATTATTAGTAAATCGTCCCCTTAGTGCCAAAACCGATTATCTGCACTTTTCCGCTACTGAACTTTTATAATACCAATCGACCCGTCTCATTAAGCCGCATCTACAGGTAAAACCCATTATGCTCTACGACGCATACTTCCTGAAATAGCTAATGAATAAACAAAATAACTTCAAATTATTTCCAAAATTCTTGATTTAAAACCTAATAAACCCATTCAAAACACTTAAATTTGTAAACGTATTAATTGTTGAAACCAAGTTTCGGATTTAAACTCATTTTTCATGTAGACACTTAAAATATCCTGTGAGTATCCTGTAATTGGCTTTGACTTGACTGTTTGAATTTTACCAGATATTTTAATTTTACTAGATGAAGTAAAAACTAACAAATCTGTCGCTTTTTGCAAAAAAAAATATATAATATGTTTGCGTTATATTTGAGGCAAGTAAAAGAGGATAGATCGAATCGATCGACAGGTGACCTTCTAGCGTACGTGACATATACCTGGGGTGAGGCTATCGATAAGTGAGGTGAGTCTTTGGCTATCAGCCTTAACATCGCCAAGGCTTTGATAGGGTCTGGCACATAAGTCTTCTCTCCAAGCTTCCTGGATACGGTCTGCCTACTCAGTTCTGTGCCTGAGTGGCTGACTTCCTGCATGAGTGTCAACGGACGGCGACGGATGTAGTTCGCAGTTCATGTCAGTGAATGCCGGTGTTTCTCAGGACTCCGTCCTATCCCCTACACTCTTTTTGCTGCATTCAATGATTTAATTCCTCTTGAGAATATTCATTGCTATGCAGACGATAATACAGTGCATGCGGGATATTTTGGATACGCAGCCGTTGGACAGGTAGAAACCAAAGAGAAACGGGAGAATCTTGTCATTGAACTCAATAAAGATTTGGACTGCATTTCGGAATGCGGTACCAAGAACTTGGTTGAGTTCATTGCCAAGAAAGCCCAGGTCGCGCTTTCACGTAAAACTAACGTTTTTTCACGCCTGAGCAACTGTGCTTGTTGTACATGACGTAAGTACGGTGATGCTTTGGATAGGTTACAGCGGCGCGCGATCCGCATTATTGTCGATAAGGAGGTGACTAAACACCTCGAGCCTCGTCAATTACGCCGTGATGTAGCGTTATTAAGCGAGTTTTATCGACTATACCTTGGCGCATGTTTTGAGGAGTTATTGTCTCTTAACCTACCTTCCCCTTTCCTACAGAAGTCTACACGCGCTGGCTTACGTTGCCACCGACTTACTGTGAACTACTATTCCCACTGTTCCAACGTGAACAAAGAAATTTGTTAACTCATTTCTTTCTCAGACTATCCGCAAATGGATTACTTTGCCCTCTTACGTGTGTGAAGTAACAATTCTGCAGGCCGGCAAAATGAGGATAGCTGGTGTGGCAAGTAATACTGCTGTACCAGCTATCTTCGCGTCTAGACTCCTCCGTCATCTAACCTCTGGTGGAGTCATTTCTTGAGACTATTTATAAAAAAAAATGTATAGCAAAGATTTTTTTTTGATTTTTGCTACAAAGGTGTCATATCTGAGGAGTACCATGGATTATGCAGAACTTTGGCTACAGAAATAAGCCAATCTGATCGTTTGCCTTCAGAAACCATTTTTGATGACTCATCATGTGCAAGCGAGTCAAGTCAAGTTTTTTATATAGAAATACTATCGGCCGCTAATGACTTCATCCGCTTTAACTTTAATATACATTTTTAAACTAGAAATTTTAGATTGAAATACTACTGCATCCGAAATATCGAACCTACAGTTTCTCGGTAAACGTACATCACAAACCGAAATTATTTAATATACCTATATTGACTCAAGGATCTCTAAAAACTTATGGATGTATCATATCGGCGATACTTTCATTCCTTGGACTCTTATCGGCATTACAGTCCACCGAATGAAATGAAAAATCTTTATTGGTCATGCTATAAGGAACAGGAAAAAAAAATATAAAAAAGAAACTTAACCTAAGAACAAAAATTAATCATTACATTTAAAATGGCCAATCAGGACCCTGCCTCAGCTTATGCTGATACAATGAGTATCTGCGTTCAGATCTCAACTTAGATGGCTTCCCATACGTCAGAGAAGGCAGCAGAGAATGCTCTGTACTCTATATTCTATCCTGTTCAACCCTCACTCTCCAGAATACTTACGATCCAAATTTCAATATCTTTATGAATCACATGACCTTCAACTTCGTTCTACTGATACTCTTGCACTGTCTCTTCCTCTCTTTCACTCTGGCTATATGTCTGATTCCTTTGCCCTTCAATCTTCACGACTCTGGAACAGCCTCCCTGACTCTGTTAGAAGGTCACCTAATAGGTTCATTTTTAAGAAGAAAGTTCATGAACTTCTTCTAGAAAGCTAATAACGTTAAACTTTACTCACAAGTTCCCTTCACAGTCTCGTCATCAATATATTTTATAAACTATGTTAATAATGATTTATACACAATATGAATATATATATATATATATATTATAAATATTATACATATATTTAATTGTAGTCTATGCATGTATATTTAGGGGGTTTTTTTTTTTTTAATAAATATATATGTAGTTACTTTTATTGGTGTATGTTTATAGTTAATCACTTTTTTTTTATATAGCCGCATTCGTGAATTTCTCTACGCCTAAAGGTTGACTGGCAGAGAATGCTTTTAGCGTTAAGTCCGCCTTTTGTCCATTTTTGTAACTGTGGCAATAAAGTTTAAATAAATAAATAAATGAGAAAATATTCTCTCACTGTATCAGCGCTGGTATTCAGGCAGGGCCTGTTTGAGGACGTGTTAGGCGCTATAGTAAACAAAATAACATAAATACTTGGTATCGATTCTGGCGTGACTCTCCGAACCCAAAACCAAATTCAACACCAGTCCCTCCCCTTCATTCTGTAAAGAGAATGACAGGAATGCACCGCTGTCAAACCCAAGACTAGCCCTAGAGAATCACGCCATAATCGACATCATTATAAAAGAATACTTAATAATAAAAATAAAATAAGAACAAAAAAAAGAAGGACATTTCGACATTTACATTTTGAAAAATTATAAAATTACATCTTAGGCACACGTCAGACAATTGCACATTAACTGTATATACATACTCGTACATGCACGCACATCCACAGATACGCATATATATTCATACACAGCACGTACACATACATACACACACAGAGATATATATATAGAACATAATATTCATAAATAAAAATAAAATAAAAATACATTTACATATATAAAACTAGCTCAATTGTCCCCATATCACTGAAATGATATGCTTACTATTTGGCGGGAATCCACAATGACGTTGCTGCGCGTGCGTGTGATCCACCTAAGGCGGCCTGGCTCGAAGGGAGCACTGACAAGCGGGATACAACAAAACAATGTTAACGAACCTATTTCACAAAAACTTACTGTCCATGGAAATGATAACTTT